TTTTTTTTTTTCAACGTTTATTTATTTTTGGGACAGAGAGAGACAGAGCATGAACGGGCGAGGGGCAGAGAGAGAGGGAGACACAGAATCGGAAACAGGCTCCAGGCTCTGAGCCATCAGCCCAGAGCCCGACGCGGGGCTCGAACTCACGGAGCGCGAGATCGTGACCTGGCTGAAGTCGGACGCTTAACCGACTGCGCCACCCAGGCGCCCCTACTTTTCTATAAAAATTTATCATGATGAAAAGAAGCCCTTTTGGCATTTCTTAGCTCGTGTTAAAGTGTCTTCCGGCAAGGTGCTGTATAGGGTGTTGCCTGTATACGGTGTACCAGCATTTTGGTACACTTCCATATAAAATTAGTAAATTCCATATAAAACAAAGTATGTTCAGCCTTCCTTTGGTTTATATGATAGTTGCAATCCTGACGGATTTAGTGTATATTAAAACTGTGAAAAAAAAATAGTGTGATTATTTGCAAAGTGGAAGTAGGTTCTGAGCGCAGGTATTACTTACCTGAAGTTTTCCACTTACTAGATGCCTGGAGATTGTAGCGTAATTCTTCCTTCTGAGGACTGTCATGCATATTGCAGGACATGGAACATTCTCAGTCCTCATCACTAAATGCCAGTGATGTCCCTTTCATTTCAATAATGAAGTGTCTTTTATAATTCTTCTGTATTATGAGCACTGCCTCGCTGAGAGCCACTGATCTGGATGTCCTGTTACTGGATTTCAAGATTTAATACAGTACAAACCCCAAATCTCCAAGTCATTTCTGTAGACTCTTGGTTTTTACTAAAACCACTTCTGAGGTTTAGTAGTAATTATGGGGGGGAAAGCTAATTATATTTTATATTTAACTTTATAACCATTTTAGTATTCTGGAAGGAAGGCTTTCATGATCACTTTTAGGAGAAAGCAAACAAGTATGGATTATCCGGGAAAAAAGCCTTGAATCTTCACAATTAGGGTCAGAACTTGCTTTCTAACTTGGCTCTTATTTAATGTTACACATAATGTTACCTTTTAAAAAGAAAGTCACGGGGTGCCTGGGTGGCTTAGTTGGTTGAGCATCCGACTTCAACTCAGGTCATGATCTCACAGTTCATGGATTTGAGCCCTGTGTTAGACCCTGTGCGGACAACTCAGAACCTGGAGCCTGCTTTGGATTCTGTGTCTCCCTCTCTCTCTGCCCCTCTCCTGCTCGCACTCTGTCTCTCAAAAAAATAAAATAAAACATTAAAAAAAAAAAGAATAACAGTTCAGTTTAATGGCATGGTTCCAAATGATGAGCAGTCCAGCCCGGAAGAGCATTGCTCACTTAGCCTCCAGCTCCGGCAGACCTGAGAACCAAAGGCCTTGAGGCCAACCTCCGCTAGGTGTTCCTTCTACTCTTGGAGTTTTTTCTTTTTCTGTTTTCTTGTTTCCAGTTACTTGAACTTTCTATCTTAGGCCCAGGGAAATGAGAAAGTTATTCACCTCAGGGCAGACAGGTATGGGAAAATCCAAGCACTAGTCAGTTTTACATAGAGTTGGTTCAGTGAAAATGAACTGTTTTTATTGCATTAAAAGTATAATTTGATGATTTAAAAATCAGCCTTGAAGATTAAGAAGCAGAATGTGAGTTGGATTGCTTGAAAGTGAAAATGTTCCAGGGACAAGGTGGCCGCAGTCCTCTGTGTCTAACTCTTTTTACTCGGCAGTGCGTGTGCTAAGCTCAGGTTTGAGCATTGACTGATACTATGGGCGTGGCGCTGACCAGGTCGGCGCAGTGGACCGCTGCCGGATACGGGACCAGAACCTTGGAAATTACTCCTCTCAATGAAGCAATATTGAAAGAAATTATGATGTTTGTGGAGAGCTTTATCTACAAATATCCCCAGGAGGCAAGATATGTTTTTGTGGAACCACTCGAATGGAAAACAGACTTGGACCCCTCAGCATTTGAATCAGGTTATATTGTCGGGTAAGCCAGTGAATTGCTTCTGGAATTTAATATCTTCATTGTACATATTTCTATCGATTGGTTGTAGGCTTGGGGCAAATAATTTAACATCTCTGAATCTCAGAAATATGCTGACCCAGGGATTGCAAGCAGAAGGCGCTCGGGTGAAATCTGAGACTATTTTGTTTGGCCAACACACCAGTCATCTAATTTTTATTTTTTAATTTTTTTAATGTTTAGTTATTTATTTTGAGAGAGAGCGTGTGTGTGCACTTGTGCACAAGTGGAGGAGGGACAGAGAGAGAGAATCCCAAGCAGGCGCCACACTGTCAGTGTAGAGCCCAACATGGGGCTTGATCTCATGAACTGTGAGATCATGACCTGAGCCAAAATCAAGAGTGGGATGCTCAACTGGCTGAGCCACCCAGTCATCCCATCTAATTTTTTAAGTTTGAAGTTGAATTTATTTTGATAGAGGATGCATTCTCCAGGTCACCACACTCCAACATTTGCTGTTGCTTTATGTCTGGGCTTTCCAGCTCATTCATATGACTGTACAGGTGCCGACAGGCATTGGTTTTGTGACCTCTGATATGAATAAGATCCCTACTGGTGTTTAAATATATTAATCCCTGGGGTAGCAGAGTGAGAGTGGTAAATTTTGTTCAGTATACGGGAGAGGTTTTTTTTTTTGACAAGTGGCATTGTCTTCAAATGAGAACCTTCCAAATCTGAGACTAACAAAAAAATTCTACGTCCACCTCAAACAGGGGGCTGTCAACTTAGCTCTTGTGAACATGAGTAAAATGTATATGTATTTATATAAGTGTGATTATATTGTAATTACACATGAATTTACATATACATATGTAAATAGTTTTTGTCGTTTTGGTCAGCTTCAGTGTATTTTCTACTTCAGGCATTCTGATCCTCCTTCCTGTTTGCACATGAACTTTTAAAGTCTGACCATGGGGCGCCTGGGTGGCGCAGTCGGTTAAGCGTCCGACTTCAGCCAGGTCACGATCTCGCGGTCCGTGAGTTCGAGCCCCGCGTCGGGCTCTG